CTGAATTGACTTCTTTATTTTATTCAAGCTCTTTGTACAAACAGTTGTCTTGGAATTCATTTAGGAGTTTATTTCAGTCCTCTTCAAATTAATTTTGGAGTTTATTTACGTCCTCTTTGAATTCTTTGAACATATTTATAATTCTTTGGACCACTTTGTCTGGAAGTTCACCTAAGTTGCTCTCACTAGGGACCATCACTATGGGATTGGCCATTTGGAGAGGAGACATATTGTCTTGGTTTTTTGAGCTGGGATTTCTACATCTGGAACTGTTCACTGGTTGTCTTTTTGTTTGAGTGTCTAGCCTACCTGTGTTGGGTGACTCTTTGGATCTATGCTTGGAATTAACCCAGCTTCTCCGGTTTGGGATCAGCTGTGCTGCTTCAAGTTCGTTCATGGAAACACACAGTACTGGTATGTGGTAGGATAGCTGAGGTGGCACCAGCTTGTCTGGAAGGGGCACAGCCTCTGACCTCATAAGTGGATAACCTGTGTAAGCTGGCAAGGGAGATGCCTGAGTAGTGGGAGTGACCTCTGACCTCGTGAGCTAGCACTCAATGTGATTCTGCAGTATCAAAGAGACAGGGTGCCAGTCAGCTGTGATGCTAGCCTTTCACCTAATGAACCCGTGGGATCTCTATGCAGTCCTGTGGTAGGGTGGTGGGCTGTCAGGGTCATCAAAAGTGCTGGCCTTTGATCTGATGGACAAGTTCACTCACTACACAGTTCTAGGGCAGCTGGGGATGAGGCGCTAGAGTGTCAGCTTCTGATCTGAAAAGCAGGCCAGATCTCCATGTGGTGGCTGGGGAGATGGTGAAGTTTCGGGTCAGAAGGGGCATTGGCCACTGACCACACAAGCACAGGGCTTCTCTACACAGTTTCGCATGGCTGGAGGTTGGGGTTCTGGGAACAACAAGGGTGCTGGCTGCTGACCTAATGGACTAGGTTCTCCGCTCAGTTCTGTGGCAGCTGAGGGGCATGCCAGGGCTGGCAGGAGTGCTCACCTCTGACCTCATGAGCAAGCAGGACTCTCTATGTGGTTCTGTTGCAGCTGCATGGTGGGGTACCTCACGTGTTCTTGGGCAAGGTGTTTAGCCTCCCTGGACATACTTTCCTCATAAGCAAACTCAAGATAATACTAGTGTATAGCACATGAGGCTACCATAAAGATTCACAAGGTAATTATGAAGGTCAGGGCCACATTCCTGTTACAAGGCAAGCATTGTGCAAACCCGTAAGGATACGAAAATGAACTGATAGTCTTCAGGGGAGGGGAGAATAAAAAACATCAAAGATTTCAGTGGAGTGATGCTTAAAACTTGAAATCAAAATTAGAACACAGTTGGCATGTTCCTGTAGTCCCAACTACTAACGAGTCTGAAGTAGGGGGATCATTAAGCCTCAGAAGTTAAGGCTAGCCTCGGTAACGTAGAGAGACCATCTCAGGAAAGCAAACAAACAATGAGCACTTCTTGCTATTTCTCCACTTTGTACTGGGGTTGATGAATGTAAGTCATGATTCCAAAATGAAATACTCAGTTTGTGTGTCGAGGGAGGGGTTGTTGTTTTGCTGTTGTTTTACATTTATTTATTTTTTTGTCATGTGCATGTGACATTGACAGTATGGATATCTGTTCTCTCCTTCCACCATGTGCATTTCAAAAACTGAACTCAAGTCATCAGGCTTTCCAGCAAATGCCTTTACCCACTGGGCTGTCCTGCCAGCCCAGTATTCAGTTTTCAACTCACAAATATATGGACTTTGTGATCAGGTCAGACATTAGAAATTTCATAGAGAGCTAAAGGATAAGCCAGAAGTTTTTATTATCCTTATTTTGAAAATAGAGATATTATGTCTCCGAGTGATAAAATATCTCTGTGCAATAGATGTTACACAGAGAAGTGAGAAAATCAAAGGTCCTTCCTACTAAGAATCGAGGGTGGGGATACAGTCCAGTGCAAAAAGCACGTAGTAGCATGCACAGGGCCTGTATTCAATCCCCAGCATCAACCATGCACAAACCAGGCAACAATCCAAAGCTGAAATGAAAGGAAAGGAGAGCTGTGACTAACGCATTCAACGCCTGAGCTTCCAAAGAGGTCTCGATGACTGCTGCTCTTCTTTGACATAAGCAAAACTCTAATGGCCTTCCCTTTCTGTCATTAGAGGCAGTGTTCTGGCTGCTGTACCACATAGCCACCTAGTAGTTCTTCCTTTCATTGTTTGTACTCAGTGCTATTAGAAGGGATCCGAGTGTCAGAAACCCTACCAGGATCAGCAACTGTACCTTCCCTGACATCCCCCAGGGGGCGCTCTACAAACTCATCCGTCTTCTCTCCGGGAATGGCTTGAGCTAGTTACTCAGCTGCTCGAAGACTGGGCTCACGCCTCAGAAAGGGAAGAGAGAAGAGCTACACATCACAAGGAATGTAAAGCTCATGATTAACTAACTGTTATTTTCTCCCTTATCACCTTCTCAAATGAGTAGCACTGGCCTATGACTGTTGATCTGCAGAGTCAGTCGGTTGGTCAGGATGGCTATCTTCAGAGTTCACGGCTTGTCTCCCGTGACTCAGAGCCTTCTGGCTCTTGGAGAAAAACTCCTGTCCCCACCCTTCCCAAATTGCTAAAGTCATGCCTTCTGTTGACGCTGTGTGTCAGAATGCATCATAACCCCACAGCTGGAAAAGGTGCTTTGCAACTTTGGGCTGAGAGGGTGACTGGGATTCCATCTGTAAATTGCAGCAGCCGGAACCTCCTCCCTGCCTCAGGCCTGAGGGGCAACACACATCACGGCAGAGGGAGAAAAACACCATAGATGAAAGCAGATGCTGGTTACAGAAAGGCATCCCCTCAGCTGTCTCTCACTCCGTCTTTCCCTGACGGCCCTCTTGGTTCAGCGATAAATGGATCTAACATAGACTGTCCCAAGTTCTCCCCACCGAGGCACTCCTCAGAAGTTAACTGCTCACATAGCTCCCCATTCCTGCCGGAGGATGGCTTCCCTGACAAGCGTTTGTTCCATCTATGTTGCCTTTCTCCTTTGGCAAAGGCCACGTTTATTAATATGATGTTTGTTAGAACATCAGACTTGAAAAAACATTTGTGTAGCTGGGTGTAGTGGCACGTACCTACAATCCCAGACGCAGGGGCACTAACCAAAGTTTGAGGTCAGCCTGGTTTATGTAATTAGTTCTAAGTCAGCTGGAGCTTCACAGTGAGATCCTGTCTCAAAAAAACAAAAAAACAAAACAGAACAAAACAAAAACCGGGGAACATAATAAAAATAAATAAACAAACAAACAAATACTTAAGTAATCCTCACAACAGTCAATGAGATTGATTGTGATGAATGTAATGGACACCTGAAAAGATAACTTCAGGGAGTTGCTGAATATTCTCCAAAGGTTTGCAGCAGCACCGTCCTCACCTGGTACCCTGGACCAGGCTAAGATCTAGTTTAGGACTTGTGGACCAAAAGTTTCCTCCAACAGACTTGCATTAACTAAGCTCTAGAAGTGGCAACATACAGAGCTGAGAGCTCATTGATTAACTACAGTAAGAATGTAGCTACTGGTCTACGGCCATACCACCCTGAATGCGTCTGATCTCGGAAGCTAAGCAGGGTCGGGCCTGGTTAGTACTTGGATGGGAGACCGCCTGGGAATACCAGGTGCTGTAGGCTATAAAAAAAAAAAAATTTTTTTTAAATAAAAAAAGAATGTAGCTACTGGTCCAATCAGAAGACTTGACTCAGCGAATCAGAACAGTCTCTCTCCGGTACTAACTGTCTCAGAATCCAAATTATAATCAGGAAGGCAGCTTATTCACTTAAAGTTAAAGAATTGAAGTGTGCCAGATGTTCATGTCCAAATTCTTCTGACAGATAAACCACATAGGAAACCAAATTATTCAGCCTCTTGGTAATCAAGGAACCAGAACAAGGGCACTTGCTAGTCCTCAGGGGATCTCCCAGTAAACAGTTTCCTGCCGTGAACAAATGGCTGTGCCCAGAAAACTATGCCACTTAAATATGTTAGCCAAGCCTTCTTCCTGCAGTAGGCAGGGATGGGCACGGCCAGGGTTGGGCTTCACAACTCTTCAGGTCTGTGCTTGCGTTTGCCATGGCCATTGTACAAAACAAGAGAAAAACAACAGTTTCTGCTTACTTTGTGGCTTTGTTCCCAAATGATCTCAATCAGAATTTGGCAGTTTGGAACTAGGTTCCTAGCACAGATGCCTAATTCAAGTCTCTAAGGATCATTTTACTGGTTTAGCTCCTGAAAGTGGTCGTTTTGATGTTTTAAGCAGCCTTGCACTTTCTATATTTAAAAAGGCACCCTCACCAGGTGGAACACATCTTTAATCCCAGCATTCAGGGGGCAGAGACAGGTGGATCTCTGAGTTTGAGGCCAGTCTAGGGCTACACAGAGAAACCCTGTCTCAAAAAAACAAACAAAAAGGCACCCTCTCCCTCTCCCCCAACCCATACCCAAGCCTTCACTGTAAGTGTGTGTCTCTGTGAGTCTCTCTCTGTGAATGTGTCTCTCTGTGTGTCCCTCTGAGTGTCTCTGTGACTAGGTCTCTGTGACATGTCTCTCTATGAGTATATCTCAGAAATTTAAAAACAAAAACCCAGAGGAACTGAGTGCTTGTCCCAAGATCTGAGTGATGGCAAATTCGAAGCTCAGAGCCAGTGCTTCTACAGTCAGATTCCACAGTTCTCTCATTAGTTTTGTTTACTATGGGTAAGCTTCGTTCTGAAGAAAGAAAAATCAATGTGTTTTAAAGAGTTATCTTTTTAAAGTGTTAACCTTTTAAAAAAAACTAAATAGAAGGTGTGAGGATGAATCACTGAAAGTGTGGAGTGGAGATGGGAAGACATAAATTAAAAACTCACTAAGATAGAGTGACCTGCAGCAGGGACAGGTGGTCCAGGCATAAAGAGCATCCAAGATCTTGTCTGGGAGTAAGGGTATGTGCATATGCTTTCTTGCAGAGTCTGAGTCCATCAGAGGCAAGGGGGGAAATCCTCTGCTATCAGGTGACCCTACAGGAGGTGACAGGGGAAATGACACTGGAGAATAGTACAAATCACACCTCCTGGACTGGAGTCATTCCCGGAACCGGGGCTTGGACTGCATCCCTGTCTGCAACCAATTCGAAAGGCACTTCTGCGCCCACTCGCATTAACATAGTGGACCTGTGCAGCACCGGTAAGTACCCAGTCACCTTAACACTGCCTGTGGGAAACTGTCTCCCTCACCTTTTTTCTCTGGCAGGTGCAGGTCAGAGCCTGGTGTGAGTAGCCAAGAGTTTAGACTTTGGAGTTAATGGCTCTCTTTTCCTGTTACCCTGGGGTTGACCTTGAGCAAGTGAATTAAAGTGAACCCTCTGTGCTTCAATTTCTTTATAAGATGGAAATTATAGTTACTGTCTTGCAAATCACTATAAGATTATAATCTTACATATAAGTATTAGTAAAGTTACATTAGCGTAATGTTTTCCAATTAGACTAACTTTTACAGATTCAATAATAATATACATTGTTAAATTCTAGACAAAAAAATTAGACTTATATTTAAAAGCTGAGTATTAAAATGAAATTCTGACCTTAGTGAAACTATGATAAAATTTTCGTTATTACATACATTTAAATATGTATCTAATTGTCTTCAGTAAAATAATCCCAACTAGATGTAAAGTCTCACATTTATAATCATATCTTCTAAAATTATCTCCTCAAAGAAAAGACCATAATTAGCTAAGAAAATGGATCTTACGCTATGTCTCAAAGTCTGAACTATTAAAAAAAAAAGTCTAAGCAAGATAAAAAAACTGTAATTGGACCCTCTCTTATAACTTAGTGTCATAATGTTGTATATACATGAGTCCAGCAATCATCAATTTGAAGAAATTTCTGCCAAAAGATTGTTGTTTTTAAGATTGATTTATTGTTTTATATGTATAGGTCTTTTGCCTGCGTGGATGTCTATGTACCATTTGCATACAGTTTCTATGGAGGCTGGAAGAGGGCATCACCTCCCCTAGAAATAGGGTTTCTAATGGTTGTGAGTTGCCATGTGGGTGCTGAGACCCATCTAACAAGGGTCCTCTGGAAGAACAGCCAATGCTTTTAATGGCTGAGTCATCTCTCCAGTCCCAAAACATTGTTTTAGATGCACCATTAAATCTTGGTTATATTTTAAGAGCACATGATGAAAACAGCTAGAAGAAAATACCAATAAACATGGGTATCAATCACCTTGATTTAGACTCTGAGTTAGGAATTGCTCCGCAGAGTCAAGTCTGACCGAAAGTCTGACTACTGTGGCTCATCTGCCCTCTCACGTAAAGGAGGTTCACAGACAGATAGCTCAGGGTGGTGACATCAGCACTCCAAGCTCCTCTCTCTTTCCCTCTGTCGGAGCTGGCATTCACCCTCACATAGAAATGGCCCAAAAGGCTGCGAGACCTCTAGCTGTTGCTCTGTAGGCAGCAGGACAGACAGGAGGCAGAAGGGAGTGACCCCAGTCTGCAGGAGCTCCCCCCAGTGCATACAACTTTGCACTCATGGCCATTTGCTGCCCATCACCACCCACCTGGCCACACTCAGCTGCAAAAAGGGCTCAAGAACCACATTTCTGGCAACCAAGTTCCCTTCCTGAAGAAGATGAAAAGTTCTTTGCTAGGCAATGGATAATGCCTTCCTTCTGTGAGAAAAGCACCCAAGGGAGAAACATGAAGGATAAGATAGATTCTCTAACTATGGGGAAACACTTCCAAGTTCACACACTGTGAAATAATTTTATCTTGAAAATACTATAAGTGGCTGGGCAGTGGTGGTGCGCGCCTTTAATTCCAGCACTCGGGAGGCAGAGCCAGGTGGATCTCTGTGAGTTCGAGGCCAGCCTGGGCTACAGAGTGAGTTCCAGGACAGGCACCAAAACTACATAGAGAAACTCTGTCTCAAAAAAACCTATTAGTTAATTAGTGGTAGATGTGACAGTGCACACCTGTAACCCAAACAGGAGGTCTAAGCAAGATGTTTGCAAGCTAGAAGCCAGTGTAGGCTCTGTAGTAAGATGCTGTCTCAAAAAGAAGGAAAAAATACAAGCAAAGCTTAAAATGCAAATAAGAGCTTAAATACATACATATATATATATATGTATGTATCATATATTATATGGTATCATATATTATATAATTGTGTGATATATATCACATTTTAGTATAAAGAGAGTTGATATTGCCTATGTCTATGTTAATCTTTTTAAATTAATTTTTAATTATCTGTACTTTTTTTTTCAAATACATGGGATATCGGGGATATGAACACACAACTCAAAAAAATAAACTATGAGAGTCCAGTATACAGGCTGGAATATAGCTCAGAGAGTGCTTTATAATATACACAAGACCCTAAGGTTGACCCCCATTGCATCTCCATGACCCCACCGACCAATTATGAGAGGAGCAATAAAGATATGAAAATGTTTAACTTAGCTAGCAATTAATGAGATGTAAATTTTGAAAAAGCATGAAAAAATCAAGTTAGTCTGACAGAATGAGAAGAATGAGTGTGCTCCATGTCAGTGAAACTGTTTTTGTGTGTTGTTGGTAGATATGTAAATTGGTACAACTTTCTGGAAAACTATTTGGCAATATATAAAAAATGCTAAATATGATCATGCCTTTTGTCCATAGAATTTCACAATTCAATGTGTATTGTCAGGCCAGGTGTGTTGTTTCCTGCCTGTAATCTCAGGATTCAAGGCCAGTCTGGGCTGCATAGTGAATTCCAGCCCAGCCTGGGATACAGAGTGAGACTAACCTCAAAAATAAATAAGAAGGAAAGGAGGGAGGGAGGAAGGAAGGAAGGAAGGAAGGAAGGAAGGAAGGAAGGAAGGAAGGAAGGAAGGAAGGAAGGAAGGAAGGAGAAGTGTATATTCAGGAGATAATAGAATAATATTAGAAATGTAAATTCAGATGTTTGTTGAATAAGTGCTTGAGGGTTGGCGAGATAGCTCAGCAGGTAAAGGACTTGCCCCAAGCCTGATAACCTGAGTTCAATCTACTACAAGATAGAAGGAGAGAAGTGACTCCCTCAACTTGTCCTCTGACCTTCAAACCTGTGCTATGGTACACACATATGCACAAATAAATAAATAAATATTATGTTTTGTAAAAAGAAAAATTTTCTTGAAGCAATATAACACTATAGCTGACCTAAATGACCTAAATAGACAACAGACTCTTAAATACATCTGACCTTTGCCTGTCTTAATCACACACTAGCATGCCATTAACTGTTCAGTGGGAAGATTTACATTGCAAGCAACAAAGTAGTCTTTAAAAGTATACTTGGTCCCAGCATTTGGGAGGCAGAGGCAAGCAGAATCTCATGAGTTCAAAGTCAGCCTGGTCCACACAGGGAACTCTAGGCCATTCAGGAATACATAGAGAGATACCTCACACACACCAATACATAAATAAATAAATAAATAAATAAATAAATAAATAAATAAATAAATAAATTTTTAAAAGATATATTGGATAATTCCATTTAAATCTATATTTATATGAGCAGATTTTTTTCTATAGTTAAAAACAAAATGACTAGTAGAAGCCATGGAAATATTAGCAGAGATCATCTTTGCCTCATGTGAATTACAGGTGATTTTTCTTCAACCCCCCAAACACACTTTTTGGTACATTCTTTCCTTTAAAAAAATCTTATTTAAGATGGGCATCGTGATTCATGCCTTTAATCCCAGCTCTTAGAAGGATCTCTGAATCAACCTGATCTACAGAGTGAGATCCAGTACAGCCAGAGCACCACAGAGAAAACTTGCCTTGAAAAACCAAAAAGAATAAATAAATATTTTATTTTATTTTTTCCATTTATTGATTTAGTATGTGTGTTTATGTTCATGTCACAGTGTGCCTGTAGGTCAGAGGACAACTTTGGGGAGTAAGTTCTCTGCTTCTTCCAAGTGATCTTAGGGATCAAACTCAGGCTTAACAGCCAGCATCTTACATGCTCAGCCATCCTATAACCTCCTGGTTATTTTTATTTAATATTTCTTCTTTGTGGATGAGTATTACACATAGACTTTTTAAAGACTTGAATATGTGTTTTACATATTTATTTTACATATTATTACATATTTTACATATTTATTTTACATATTTTACATATTTGAATATGTGTTTTACCTATGTAAAACATACATATGTATGCACACCCCAAGGGACAGACACACATACAGATACAGTCAGATAGACACCATTCACACACAGAGACACAGACAGTACATACAGACACATACAAGGCATGCAGCAGACAGACACACAGCTCATGTGACAGACACACACAAAACGTACAAGACAGACAGACACACAGGGGCAGACAGAGGACTGAAGACAGAGAACATGAAGTAGAGAATTCAATTCTGTTCTCTTGGTTAAATGACTCCAAGAGGAAGTGTTTTATTTCTTTCCTTAGTTCGATACTGATGCGTTACTGGGGACTCAAAGTGAATCACTAATGAGAATAATCTGAGCAATCCAAAATAAGACATCCAGTAAGCAACAGAGCAGAATGGAAAAGGTAGCCTCCTTTCTCTTAGGTGATACCTTACAAGCATCAGAACTCCACAGAGTGGTTCTCAGGAAACAAGGAGATAGGATATTCTGATTGAAGCTGAAAAAGTAATTTTGTTTTGTTTTTGTTTTCTCAGATAAGGGCTCACTGTGTAGCCCAAGCTGTCCTCGAACTCACAGAGCTCCACCTGCTTCTGCCTCCCAAGTGCTGGGATTAAAGGTATGCATCACCATGGGATTAAAGGTATGCATCACAAAGGGATGATTCTGAAAGGTGAATGAGAAAAGGTGCATTATTAGCAGGGTCCTGAAGGGAAGAATGTGGTCTGGCAGACATCCTAGAGAAGGAAATTCCAGACTGGTACCTGGCAAGAACAGCGACCTAGAGGCTGAAGGAGTCCTGAAAGGTGCAAGCTGATTTGCTTGGCAAATTCCGGATAAAGTAGAGATGAAAAGGGCTTTTTGGAGATTTTAACACAACCTCAGACAAAGGGTCTTTCAAACTGTAGCACTCAGTATCTATGGAATGAATAAATTTCATTCTAAAAAAAAATACCCTCGGGCTGACAAGATGAGTCGCAGGAAAGGGCTTATGCTGCCAAGCCTGACCACCTGAATTCTAGGCCTGAGATGGCATGGTGAAAGGAGAGACCCAGCTCCTGCAAGGTGTCCTCTCCCCTGCATGCATGTGCTTCGACACTAGCGTGTGAGTACACACACACACACACACACACACACACACACACACACATACAAAATAAAACACACACATAAAATAAAGGCAGCCATGGTAACCATTTTGAAAACGAGAACTACCTTACCCCCACCTCTATGCTTTTTAAAATATGCCCAGGCACAAACTACTTTACAACTGAACCCTGAAAAAATATATAACCTTATTTTATTAAGGTTCCTGTAGAAAATAGAAAATAAGGAAAGCTGTCCAATCTGTTTTGTGGGATAAATTGTTTTTTGATCAATTTTATTTTATTAATAAAGGCAAATAAAGACAGTACAGGAAAGATTATTGTTTAAATCATTTGTGCATACAAACATAAAATCTAAATTAATTATTGGCAATTTAAATCTGTATAGACACATATTAAAAATTAGTGCCAATAGTTCCAACTTCCAGATAAGCATATGCAGCATTTGAAAAGTATTACTCTGTCCTCAAACAAGTAAAGAATAGATGAACTAAAAAGGCAATAATTCTCTTCCTCCTCCCTCCCTCCTTCCTGACCCCCACTGCAGATAGAAATAAATGTCTGCACCTAGGAAACTTCTTTTGTTGTCATTAAGTGCCTTTTGCTTTATAGTTTTCTATTGTTCTTAAGTAAATGCTTTGTTCTTAGGGTATGAAGGCTTTTTTTTTTTCTAGCTAGTAATATTTCTACTTGTAACTGGAGGGCTAGCATAAAATATCTTTCTTTCCTTTCTACTTAAGAAGAATTTTTCTGCTATTTTTATTAGTGTATATTCATAGGTTTCATTGTGACATTTTCATACATATTTACCATGTACTTTCATCATACTCTTCCCATTATCCAATTCTTCTTTTACCCATCGGAGAAGTAAAACCCCAGGGAAGCCACTACCCCCAGAATTGAAAGGAAAAGCGAATATCTAAGGACTAGCAGGTGAGGTATGTCTGTGCAGTTTACCACACAGACTCACAGGCCCTGGAAATCATAAAGAAATAATATCATTTCCCTTTTAAAAAAAATAACCCTTTTAGCTTATACTTTGGACTGAAAACCTAAGCATAAGAAGCAGAAGTAAAGGCCAATAGAAGACAATGTAGTTGAATGTATTTATAGCCCCGGGGTGGTGGAATTTTACAAACAAGACTCAAAATCAAAACTGAGGTAAATTTACCAGCACCACTGCAGATAACAAAGTTGTCAGAGAACTAACTGACTGTATTAAGAGTAGAAAACTGAAAAGTAATTAGGATCATCAAAGCTACCTGTCAATCATAAAAAGGCAGAATCACAGAGAAAAATGAGCCAAGTCCACAAATTGTCACAGAAGAAAAGTCAATGAGAAGCTTGGCCTTATGAAACTTTCACAAACATGAAAATCAAACCTCTAATCACATATCATTTTATGTGTATCAAATTGATATACATAGAAAGTAGGGAAATACAAAGTGTAGGTGAAGTGAGAGTCCTCGGGCTAGCTACTTTTGGTGAAGTGTCAACATGCTGTTAATTTTTTTTACCTTCTGTGCATGTGTCCAGTGCCTTCCTCAGGCTGGGCAAGAGCTACATCCTCCTCTCATCCATCTGTTGTGGAGATCAAGCAGAAGGACACTCCCTAAGCAAGCAGTTTTGCGCACGTTCATCCAGAATGGTCTTGTACATGCACAAGAGGGCCTGCAGAGACCAGTCCCCGTGTCTTTGTGTCAGCACACTCCTGCTGGCCACTGGGAAGCAGATGAGAAAAGGGCGTAGGCAGAGGTGTGAGGGAGTGAGCTGGCTTTACAGAGAAGGAGGAGGAATCTATCCCAGAAACAGAAAGCTAAGTGAAAAGGTCTGACAAAATAGTCTGTTGTGGGAAAACACCACAGCCAAGCAAAGGGCCACACTGCATTTCAGTGACACATTTCCGTCTAAGGAGACAGGTGGGCGGTCATTAAAAGGGTGTATATTACATTTAACGAAGTAAGCGCTTTGAGGGAATGAAGTAAGTGAAGACAAAGAGGAAATAAACCCACAAAGAAAGCTACACAGGATTATAGGACAAGCTGCTGAGGCTAATCCCCCATGAACTGAAAAACATAAACTTAATCCTTGACCTGGAAGTCCCAAAAAGAGAGATTGATGGTTTCTAAGACTGAGCTGGGATAAGCTGTCTCGTGTGTGTGTGTGTGTGTGTGTGTGTGTGTGTGTGTGTGTGTGTGTGTGTGTGTGTTCATGCATGAACAGATGCATGTGTGCATATACAGCCACAGGATAACCTTAGGTAGATGTCATTCCTCAGGCACTATCTACCTTGCTTTTTGTTTGTTGTAAAAAAAAAAAAAAAAAAAAGTCTCTCACTAGCTGGAGCTTACTAAGTAGGCTAGTCTGCCTGGCTGGATAGCCCCAGGGATCTTCCTGGCCCACTTCCCCAGGACTAGGAGGACCAACGTGCACCACCATGCCAACCCTGTCTAGCCCAGTGGGATATGGGGAC